CGTCCATCTGACAGGAAGAGTGATCTTTACAAAAGGTGTCTGTGACTCTGCTCCAGAACCTTCCCTTGCCTTTGGATGCTTGTCCTGACATGACCTGTCAGGGGTGGAGGGTGAGGCGTGGGATGACCTGCTCACCTCTGCTCTCCAGCTCACCCAGTCCTCTGGTCGCCTCTAGCCAGACCACTCTGCCCTGGCCCACTCTCTGATCGGCACACCTCAGTGACCCCTCCTCCCCAGGGCCCTGCCCTCATCATTTCCCGCCCAGGTCACAGCACTCATCACACCTGGCCGCTGTTTTTTGTTTTTGTAGTGAAATACACCTATCATGAGATGTACAACCTTACCTGTTTCTGAGTGTCCAGTTGGGCAGTATTAAGCACACTCATACTGTTGGCGCAACCTCCAGAACGCTTCATCCTGCAAAACTGAAACCGCATCCGTGAAACAGTGGCCCCCCCATCCCTCCCCTGCCCCAGTCCCTGGCAACCACCATTCTTGTTGTCTCTCTGAATTTTTCTCCTCTGGGACCCTCCGGTAATGAAACCATGCAGTATTTGTCTTCTGGTGACTGACTTACTTCACTTAGCATGATGCCCTCAAGGTTCTGTGTAGCATGTGACAGGTTTTCCTTCCTTTTTTTTGTTTTGTTTTGTTTTGGTTTTTGGTTTTCCATCCTTTTTAAGGCTGAATAGTATTCAAGGTCTGTTGTATGTATAGACCATATATTTTGTTCTTCCATTCATCTCCGGAGGGACACTTAGGTTGTTTCTACTTTTGGCTCTTGTGATATGTGTTGTGAACATGGGGTTTGCAGATATTTCATCAAGATCCTGCTTCCAGTTCTTTTTCTTCTGTATCCAGAAGTGGAATTGCTGGATCATCTGGTAGTTCTATTTTTAATTTTCTGAGGAATCATCATACTGTTTCTGATAGTGACTACGCCATTTTACATTCTCAAAACAATGCACAAATATGGTTCTAATTCATCCACGCCCTCACTAACACTTATTCTTTTTTTTCTAAATTGTGGCCATTCTAATGGGTTTGAAGTGGTACCTTATTGTGGTTTTTATTTGCATTTCCCTAGTGATAGTAATGTTGAGGATCTCTCTACATACTGGTTGACCATTTGTATGTCCTCTTTGGAGGAATGTCTATTCCTTTGCCCATTAAAAAAAAAAACCGAAAACACTACTTTTCCATTATGATTTATTACAGGATATTAAATATAGTTCCCTGAGCTATACAGTAGGGCCTTGTTTATCTAGTTTATGTATAGTGGTTTGTATCTGCTAATCCAAACTCCTGCTTTATCTGTGCACCCCCCTCCCCCCACCTCTTTCCCCTTTGGTAAGCATAAGTTCTCTATGTCTGCGAGTCTGTTTCTGTTTTATAGATAAGTTCATTTGTGTCATATTTTGGATTCCACGTATATGTAATATCATATGATGTTTGTCTTTCTCTGACTTCACTTAGTATGATAATCTCTAGGTCCTTCCATGTTGCTGCAAGTTTTTGCCCATTTTTCAGTCTAGTTGTGTGTTTTTGTTTGTTTGTTTTGTTTTTGTCATTGTTGTCGGCCTCTGGTTTTGGTTGTAGAGAATTTGGTGTGTAGCTGCTAAGCTGCAAGAGGGCAGGGCCGTGCCCACCTCATTCCCTGCCCTGCCCCAGTGTCCAGCATGGAGCCCTGCATGTGGTTTATTGGTGGATGAACAAATACGCATGGAGCTCTTATCAGCAAAGGAGTAAAAGAATGTTAGTTCACGCATCCATTCTTGTTTCAAGAAGGATTTAAGGCTCTGGTCACATCTCTTTGGAAGCATAGTGAATGGGGTGATGAATGGAAGTAATTTGAAAAGGCTTTGAGTTGGATAATCCAAAGTCTTGATTTTTTTTTTTTTTTTTTAAGATTTATTTTGGCTGCACTGGGTCTTCGTTGCTGCACGGGCTTTCTCTAGTTGTGGCAGTTTGTTGCGGTCTGAGGGTTTGCAGTTGGCACTCGAAGGCTCTAGAGCACTGGCTCAATGGTTGTGGCTCACGGGCTTAGCTGCTCCGCAACCATATGGGATCCTCCCCAACCAGTCCCCTGCACTGGAAGGTGGATTCTTAACCACTGGACCGCCAGGGAAGCCCTTGACGTGTGTTATTTAACTACTTTGGGGTCATGCTTTTTTGGTTGAGTCCCATTTTGCATAATAAGGCTGGTCTTGATGGTGAAACTTTGCATGTGTTATTTTATAGTTTCAAAATATGCTGCCATCTAGTTAGTCTCCGTTGATCCTCCATTACAAAGGCTGGGAAAGGATGATGCTGGCCTTGCAGTGGAAGGGCAGAAGCATAGGCTGACCTGCACGCCCACCTCTTCCCTTCCTCCTGTGCTTCCTCCGTCCTGGGTCCCAGCTCCCCTCCCAGGTCTCAGCCACTGCCTGCCCAGGTCAGTCACCTCGTCTGACAGGTCTCGGCCACCGGTGGCCCGCCTCCCTCCCTGTTCCCCCTTCCACTTTTCTTCCTGTCCTGCTAGTTCCTTACCTGCCTCACTGGCGTCTGCCTCCAGGCCGAACGCTTATGCAGCACTGCTGCCAGAATAAACTGTCTGAAATCCAATTTTCTCATTTTCCTGTTGAGTTTGAATTCGATGTTTCCACGTTGCCTTCAGGATCATGTCCACACCCTTTTATGTGGTACCCTGGCCGCCCTCAGCAGTGTGTCCTTGTTCCCTGCATCCTTAGCAGATGCTTCTCTGCCCAAGATCCTCCACCGCCCTCTCCCCACCTCCCCCCACCTGCCTACCCCTGCTAGTTCTCGAGTTTCTATATCATCCCATTTATGCTGACAGGCTACCCCACCTCCCCCGCCCCGGCTGGAGTCTCCCTCACCTGCCCTGGGCTCCCTGCGTGGCTCTGTTTATCTCTTGGTACCACGTGGCCGTCTGCCTGTCTGTGGGTCTTTGTACACTTATTGGTCAGTCTCCTGACTGGTCTGTGCTCTCCGAAGCCAAGGCAGTGTCTTTTGTGTCCCATGTTTCAGCGATCAGCCCAGTGGCTCTCACAGAGTAGGGTGTTTGTGGAGGCGAGGAGGGGGAGGACAAAGGAGAGCTGGTCTGATCTCAAAGTTCATGTCTTCCTGCCCCCTCCCCACCCCCTCCACCGCCCACCGGTGCATTCTCCCGGTCCAGGGTGGCGGGGTCACGGGTGGGCTCCCAGAGTGACCCAGTCAGCTCTGCTTGGCTCTGTGGCCACCCTGAAACTCACTCACCCCGGCCTACCTTCTGGTAAACGCATCCCAGCAAAGAGAGATGACTCATGTGTGTGTGACTCAGCGCGAAGGCAGCACAGCTGGAGAGGTGGCCAGTGTGGCCTGGGGGAGGGCAGGCCGCTGAGCACCAGGGATCCAGGCCTGGGACCTGAACTCCTGCAGGCCTGCCAGCTGGGCCCGAGGCAGGAGCCTCCTCTGTCCGTGGAGGGCGTGGCTGCACTCGCAGAGCTTTGACTTAAGATATCTGGAATTGCATCTCATCTATCACCACTAAATACTATTTTTAATAACTTTAGTGTATGCTTATAGGCACTGGTAAGCATCTTGCATGTAACCAAAACAACAACAAAAATTATAGCAGATACATGTACAGTACTTCCTATATACCAGCTGCTATTCTAAGTAAGCACTTTGCATTTTGAAGTCACCTAATTCTCACAAAAACCGTATAGTACAGGAATTCCGTTGTCCTCATTTCATAGATGAGGAATCTGAGGCCCAGAAAGGTCACACACAGAGGTGCCCCCAGAGCTCCATAGGGAAGAAATGACATTTTCTTTATCCATTCGTCTGTCGACGGACACTTCGGTTTGCTTCCATGTCTTGGCTTTTGTAAAATAATGCTGCTGTGAACATTGGGGTACTTGTATCTTTTCGAATTATAGTTTTCCTCTTTTTTTTTTTTTCTGGATAAAGATGTTTTATATATATACAGTGGAATATTACTCACCCGTAAAAAGAATGAAATAATGCAGTTTGTAGCAATATGAATGAACCTAGAGATGATCATACTAAGTGAAATAAGTCAGACAATGACCAGTATTATATGATGTCACTCATATGTGGAATCTAAAAGAATAATATGAATGAATCTGTTTACAAAACAGAAACCAACAGACCTGGTAAACAAGCTTATAGTTACCAAAGGGGAAGGTAGGTGGAGGGATAAGTTAGGATTGACAGATAGGATTAACAGATGCACAATACTATATATAAAATAGACAAGCAACGAGGAATTACATATAGCACAGGGAACCGTATTCAATGTCTGTGATAACCAATACTGGAACATTATCAGAAAAAATTACATATAACTGAATCACTTTGCTGTATACCTAAAACCAAAACAATATTATAAGTCAACTATACTTCAAAAATTTTTTTAAAGAGGAAGGAGTGGGTTTCCTGGTGCCCTAGAGATTAGGACTCTGGGCTTTCGCTACCATCACCTGGGGTCAGGAACTGAGATCCTGCAAGCTGTACAGTATGGTCAAAAAGAAAAAAAGAGGGAGGAGATAAATGACAGTTTTGATATGAGCTCAGGTTTCTGAGTCCACACTCTTAACCCCACCCTGTGCTTCCTTGATGAAGTCTATAATCTGCAGTCCCATTTTTACAGAGGAGGCGATTATGGCTCAGAGAGGTTGGTCACTTTCCTGTAGTCACACAGCCAGGGAGTGATGGAAGCTGGTTGTCTGCAACCCCTAGCTGCAGCCACTGAGCCCTCCTGTCCAAATCAGGCCTTGCCACGGGCTGGCTTCTCCTTACCCCTCCCCACTGGTGCTCCCGGGGGCCAGGTCCAGAGGTTGGGTGGGTTCTCCGGAATAAACTCTTTCTTCTCAGTCTGGGGTCACAGCCAAAGGGAAGCCCTTGATGGCACAGTCCGCTCCAATCTCCCTTCAGTTGTGGGTTGCAGACCACTTCCTCCCCCAGGGGTGCTCACGTGGCTCTCCTTGCCTCCGCAGACGGCGAGACGGTGCACTACCACTACGGCCCGAAAGACCTGGTCACTGTCTTGTTCTACATCTTCATCGCCATCATCCTGCACGCCGTGGTGCAGGAGTACATACTAGACGTGAGTGCTGGGTCTGGGCTCAGAGGTGGGAGGCTGGGGGGACGCACGGATGGAGCGGCCGCAGCTCGGAGGCCTCCATCCCTCTTTCACAGGCTCCGGCTGGCCCTGGGGGACTGACCTCCCACACCACACTGTGGTCTCCCTCCTCCTTACCGCCTCCTAGAAGCAGCATTTATTCACAGGAGGGAGCTGCCTGAAGTGTGTCGAAATGGCGTCATCGGGGCTCAGACGGCACGGGTGGGGGATGTTGCCTTTATATCTCGGCTAAAGACGTCTACCTCGCCCCTTTCTCAGAATGCTTGCCTTCAACTAAACACTGTATGCATGTACAACACTCATACGAAATAGCTTCAGCCCCTTTATTGGGAGAGCAAAGGCATTTGAAGCTTGCCCATTACCCATACGTTTACATATTTAACATGCCAGGTCCCTCTCTCTATTCTTTAGAAAATCAGCAAACGGCTTCATCTCTCCAAAGTCAAGCACAGCAAATTCAACGAGTCTGGGCAGTTGGTGGTCTTTCATCTCAGCTCGGTGATCTGGTGCTTCTACGTGGTGGTGACGGTGAGTGATCCTCGTGACTGCTGACGGCTGGGGCCCGGGCAGCCGTGGTATCGTGGTGGAAGAGGGGTCAGTGGTTTACGGGCTGTGTGAAGCCAGGGAGTATCATCTGGTCCCAAAGTAAACACTCCTTTATAGCTAGGATGTGATGTCACGGGGATGACAGCAATTAGCTCCATAGCTCCGTGTCCCCTCCCAGGGCCCCCTCACGGTGCTGTCCCTTGAGCTGAGGTTTATCTTCATCCGGGCACCTGGGTCATGGATTGAAGAAATCCAAGCTCAGGTTTCGCAGTGGTCCTGGGGTCACGTGGTTCTGCAGTGGACAGGACTTGAGGCTCTGCTTTGGTTTCACCACGTTGGCCTCCCAGGGCATGCCCGCCCCCCCAGTCAGCACCGCCTCCAATGAATGCCTGGAGGACCAGATAGCTGACCTGCCTCCCCTCTTTGCACAATACGACTGTTAAGCAACCTTTGATACAGCAAAATTCCTTTGTACAGCAGAATGTGGACAGTCCTTTGAAGTTCGCTCTAACAAGCTGGTTGTGCTAGGAAGTTTTTAATTCCCCAGCCACAGCCTGGAGCACCTCCTGTCTGTAACCAGGTCTCTTCCTCAGGAGCTAGAATCGTCCTGTGAGAAATCCAGGCCAGGGGCCTGGAAAATTCTGCAACCTTGTGATCTTTTAGGAGCTTCTTTCCCTGCCTGCCCTGACTCCTCACCTCCCTTCCTCTTCCTGAGCGACACTCTCCCATCCTCAGGACCTCATTGTCTCTGGTCTGAACCCTGGACACATGTTCTCAAAGCAGGACTCAGCGTGTCCTTCAGCATGTTGCCTGTATTTCTGTAACCACAGAACACCAGGAATTTGAAACCCAGGGCCCCAGGCCTCTGTGCAGCGGAGCAGGCCCTGGGGTGGACTTTCGGGGTGGTCTGTGCAAGTAGCGCCCCCTGATGTTGTGCAGCACAGACGGGCCCCAGGAGGTGTCCACAGTGCTGGGCTCTGATCTCTCCCTGCCGCTGGGTGTTTGGGTCCCGCGGCCTCTGGAGACCCGGAGCTCCCTTGAGGCAGAGCAGCCCTGGGGTCCCTCAGACACCTCACTGCTCTTGCCTCATCTCTGAATCACTGTTGCCCTTTCAGTCTCACCCCACCGTCCACCCGAGCTGTGACCCAGCTACTCACCCAGGGGATTTCCCACCCCCTCCAGAGTGCGCAAGGCTCCACGCCAAGTCCCTGCTTCTCCCAGGCCTGTCGAGGGCTTGGAAGCGAGGCTCATTAGTCTGGCGCGGTTGCGCTTTCCTGGGTTCACTCCCAACAGGCTTTTACTGTGGTGACAGCCAGGCCTCCACTCAGCGCCTCCAGCTAGAGATAGACCAAGGGAACCTGGAAAGTTCCAGTGACCCCGGTCCTTATCCACCATGCGGCTCTTAGCCCTCACGTGCTCCCTCCATGCCATTCCAAGTGAAAGTGACTGAAGAAGAGAGGGTCGTTATGTAAAAGGAGTAAAAAGCAGCTAGGCTTTTAAAATCATATCTTTCTGTTATGAGGAACTTTTTCTCAATTCTCTTTCACCCTCCAGCCAGTTCCTCAGCAGTCCCCCTGCCTCCACCAGAACGTGGAGGGCCTGTTCCCTGCTTTCTGCCTGCATCTCTGCCCCCAGGCCGGTGGGTCTCTCCAGGGGACACTGGACAGTATGCTACCGGCATCTAGGGGTTCGAGGCCAGCGATAAGCTGAGTGTCCTGCAGTGTACAGGAGAGTTTCCACAGCAAAGACCAGTCTGGCCCTGGGGTGTCACTAGTGCCACAGCTAGGCAGCCTTGATCTGTAATCTAGGCCACCATCATCCTTGCTGGACCACTTGTAGAAGGCGGCTGTTTCCACTCCTGTATCCATCCACCCACCCCCATCCATTGTCTGCCCAGCCAGACAGATCTTCATAGAATGTAAACCAAGTCATGCACCCCCTGCTTTCAAAGCTGCTGTCCCACTTGCGGGGAAATTATGCTTTTTCCTAAGCTCTGGGCCAGCCTTTTCCATCTCTTCTCACTCGCCCCAGCCCCCACCGTTCCTCTCACTCTCCTGGCCTTCCTGCCTCCTGGGCGTCGCAGGCAGCGCTCCATCCCCTGACATCCATGCCTTCCAACTCTCCACCTAAACGTCACCTCCGCAGAGAACTCCCCTCCTCTTATATCTGCTGCACTCTGCCCTCTACTCTGGTGTTTCTTGTTAACGCGTGTTCTCTGCTCCCTGCTTCTGCCTAGCACTGCTCCCAGAGTTGTGCTCACAGCTGGCCCCCCAGTTCAGTTCTCGCTGTGTTCCCAGCAGGTACAGCCTGTACTGAGTGCGCTCTCAATATTGTTGTGAGAGGGAATAAACTGCAAACGTATCTTCTTGTTCCAGCTTTCAGCAGTTTTTAAAGTAATCAATCATTTGTTTTTATGAATTCACAGATAATCTTTTTTTTTTTAAAACATGAACCATACATAAAAGTTTAAAAAAAGAAAGTAAAAATTGACCCTAAATCCCTCCCCCACAAAATAACTGGTTTTATCTTGGCATTGGATTCAGATTTCTCTCTGCATTGATGTAGGCAGGGTGATGGGGTTGTGGATGGGCCAAGTGATCATTTAATAAGAATGTTAACCTGCTACCTTTAATCTAGCCCAACTACTGTTCATCGTTCAGGGCAAAGAAACATAACTCGACTGCAGAAATCAGGCTGGGTGGGCGCCTGGTCCCCCTGCCTGGCTTCCCAGGGACGGGGACGCCTCCCTTCCTGGTGTGGACCTGCGGCTGGGCGCTCAGCGAGAGCTTTGCCCTCGAGCACCTTCGGGGCAGATGTGCGGGTCAGGGCCGCCTCCTGACAGACAGACTGCCTGGAGCAGAGGCACCTTCGGGGCAGATGTGCCGGTCAGGGCCGCCTCCTGACAGACTGACTGCCTGGAGCAGAACCTCCGCAGCGGTGTTGCTGAAGGACCGGTGGGTCCAGGGAGCCGCTGGCCATATTAGGACTGGATTCTCCTCTTCCGCTGGTGCTTTCTGGCTCTGGGGGAGGGGAGGGAGTGTGTAGGCTCAGCGGGCCTCCTTGCTACCTAGTTGATGTGTAGAACCAGGAAGGAACAGAGGACCCCAAAGGCCCCCAGACGGCATGCCCGGCAGCAGGGGGGGATCCGGGGGCGGCGAGCCCACACTCCGTGTGCTGAGCTCCGAGGGTCCCGGCCTGGGCCTCCCTGGGCGGCTGCCTGGCCCGAGGTTTGGAAAAGACTGTTCTCAGGGCAGTGAGTCATCCTTCCTCTGGCTGCCCGTGCGCCTCCCTCCTGCCCGGCGCAGGCAGGCAGGCAGGCAGCATTGTTACTGGGGCGTTTCTCTGCCGCCCGTTGGCTTCACAGTTCTGACTTCTTTGTCTCTTAAATGAAGGGCCACGCCAGGAGGGTCCCTGTTTAATATCCCAGGATTCTCGGGGCTTTTAATTTCTGTCAGTGCTGCTTTTCTTGGCCAGTCTTTTTTTTTGGGGGGGCAGCAATTCTCCCACCTCAGTCCTCGAAGGACCGTTTTTCTCCTTAAATACATCGGTGCTTCTTCCAGGAAGGAACGTCCTGCCTGCTCTGGTTTCCTGGACAGGAGGGTGGAAGGCTGTGAACCTCTATGCCCGGGGTTTGTGTCTGATGCAGGCGGCGTGTGGGTGGCAGCAAAGGGTGACCTCAATGCAGAAAAGCCCTCTCTTCACCCAGCTCGCCCCGGAGCCTCCCACCTCTGCCGGACTGTGAAGAGGAAGATGGGAATGAGGCTGGAAGATTGGGGGAGAGACCATGACTGCCCTGGGCCTGTGCCCGAGGGCACCCAGTCAGTTGGGAAGCTGTGTTAACGAGATCCTGGTCGTGGGTTTGGGGCCATGGGCCATACCTGAAATGTCCTCAGCTGTTTAGTGATTCAAGCGGGGGTAGACTGGCCCTCCCGTGGAAATAAGGCTGAGGCTCTGTAGCCATCTGGAGGCTCCTCTGTGAACCTCTGGGCCTCCTGCCCCCAGCACAGCCTGGTCCTTGGTCCTGGTGGGAACACCTGGAACTCTTGGCCTCCTCATCCAAGCCACTAGCTCAGTTTCTTTCTGGCGGACCTGGCAACCAGGCCTGGGGTGCCGGGACCAGGAGGCTGGGGGTGCAGCTCAGATTTGTTGTACTGCGGAGAAGTCACCTCGTTTCCGGGGCTCCCTCCTTTCCCTGTCCCTAAGAGGAGGTCAGGCTGCCGTCACGTCCTCTGTTCTCTTTGAGCGCCCCGTCGGTCTCCTCGCTCTTGGTGGGTTGTTTGCTTGTGTGTTTTGTGATCGGGTTTATAAAGTCATCTTCAGCAAGGCTTTGCATGTCAGAACCCTGTATGTCCTTGGACAAGAGTATGTCCCAGTGGTCTCACTGGCCCACGATATCGCCAATGCTGAGTTCTTAGGTGAGGACTCCTGGACACACAGGTGATGTCCGTGTGCGCTTCCAACCCACGTGAAAATGAATCTGAGGTTACAGATGTTCAGGAGGTCATATTTTTTTGTTTCCGTACTGAGCTGAGGGTGAGGGGACACCGACCTCTTCTCCCGCTGTTCTTTGTCAGATCCTTTCTAGTCTCCCCTTCCTCTGGGTGGAGAGGGTGGTAGCCCTTTGAGGGTCTTCCTGTCCCCATGTGGGCACCTGTGCCCTGGTTCCACAGCCTCAGTCCCCTGCTCTGCCCTCCTGGGCCCTCGGGATTTTGCCTTTCTTATTGTGAGCTCAGCTTTGCATCTGAAAGAACATATGTTAGATTTAATGCAGCATGTCCAGGTGTTTTGTGATCGGAGGATTTTCAGGTTGCCCCACCCCACCCCACCCCCTTACTCTGTAAGAGGCCCTGGGCTAAAAAAGGCCAGAAAAGAAGGCCTGTGGTGTCCTGGCGCCAGGACAGGGGCTGCACTCTACGATGAGTGTCACACAGGCCGCCGTTGGGGAGGCCTGTGGGGTCCTGCTGTTCTTTTTACTCGCGGCNGTGGTGTCCTGGCGCCAGGACAGGGGCTGCACTCTACGATGAGTGTCACACAGGCCGCCGTTGGGGAGGCCTGTGGGGTCCTGCTGTTCTTTTTACTCGCGGCATTGTGAAAAAACAGAGGAGGCTTTTCATGTTTCCAGTGGACGGTGATTCTGGAGTTGATCTGCTTATTCACCCTACAAGCATTTCCTGAGTGCCTGCATGCCAGGCATAATACTCAACACTGTCACATAAACATAAACTGTCACATTTATTTCTAACAATAACTCTGGGAGGGTATTTTTATCCTCATTTTACAGACAAGCCAGCTGAAGCTCAGGGAGACAAACTTGCTCGGAGGATGCGGCCAGTCAGGGTCAGACCCACAGTCAGACTCGGGTCTTCAGTCAGTCAGTCAGACCCCAGAGAAGGGCTCCTCCTACATCACGACTCTTTTATAATAAAGACACGGCCAAGTGCCAGAGGGCCTCCGTGTTCACGTTTCCCGTTGCTTCCTCGTTCTGGCATCTGGGGGCTAGGTGTGGCTCTGACCCCTGACCCCTGGGCCTGCCCTGGGTCCCAGCTGGCCTCGCGGTCACGTCTCTAAATGTGGTCTCTTCCTGCCCATGACAGGAAGGATACTTAACAAACCCAAGGAGCCTCTGGGAAGACTACCCACATGTGTACCTCCCGTGAGTATTGTCACGTTCTCTCCCCCGGGAGGAGCGGGCTGGGTGCACCAGCTTCTCGCCCCAGACTGGCCAGTGCGCATGAAGACCCTCAGGCCTTTTGGGGCCAGTGTCGTGGAGGCTGGTCTGGGAGCTGCTTCCTCCCCCAGCGCTCATGGGTGCATCCTGCAGGAGCCTCAGTGCAGGGTGTCCGCCCGGCTGCCGTCAGGGAGTGCCGCAGATAGCGGGGGTCCAGAGGGCTTATAAACCCCAGACAGTCCTTCCTCGCAGTTCTGGAGGCTGGCAGACCTAGTGTCTGCTGAGGCTGCTTCCTGCTTCCCAAATGGCATCCTCCTCACGTGCAGAAGCAGAGAAGGGCCTCTGTCACCCACTCCGTCACCCTCTGTCACCCTCTGTCACCAGGGCCCTAATCCCACTCGGGAGGGTCCACCCCTGTGCCCTCGTCACCTTCCAGAGGCCCCACGTCCTGGTACCCTGTCACTGCGGGGTTAGGATTTCAAATGTGAATTTCAAGGGTAGGGGGCGCAAGCATCGGGTCTGTAGCGGGTTCCTAAACCACCGGGAGGGAGGGGCAAGCAAAGTCACTGCCTGGAGCTCCGTGGACTGTGCCTCCTGGCACCTGCTCACATCCACCTCTGCGTCTCTGAGCTCCATTGGACGCAGCACCCTCCCACCTCCAGCTCTGATGGGACCCCAGGAGGGCAAAGCTTGGCCCTCGTGCCGTGCCCCTGAGATGATTCTCAGCCTTTCCTAAGACCCTTAGAACAGCAGCCCCGGAGACTTAGCGGAGTTGGATCCATCCTCTGTGGCTGAGACCCCTGCCTTCCTTGGCATGTACCCATTTGCCCACTGCCTCCTCCCTGACAGGGCTCTGGAATCAGGCCCCTCCTTAGCCTTTCCTCCTCTGGACTGAATTACCCCCGTCCTCTGCTCTTTTCGTCTGTCTTGTGTCTTTTCCCGGGCTTCCTGTGGCCCTCCACATGTGGAGCAGTGTCCCGGCCCAGGGGTCTCATGCGTGCCAGCCACCCGCCCCAGCTCCTTGCACCCAGCTCTCCCCCATCGGCCAGGCCCCCGGTCTGCCTGTATTAGAGCAGCATCGTTCTGCACCCCTCCTCCCTGCTCTGCAGCTCCCCCTGCACCTTCTTCCCCTGCTCCTGCATCTCAGGCTAAGGGAGTCAGCACATGTACCGTTTGTGTGTCTTTTTTTGCAGGAGGAGATCCCGCGGCAGCTCCAGTACATCTGTCTGTACCTGATCCACATCGCAGGCGCGTACCTCTTAAAGTGAGTGGGACCCGGATCGGGCCAGTTCTCCCTGGCCTTTTATGTTTGCGCTCCTCTCCACACCGTCATTCAATCGGGAGGCATTTATCAGACACGCCCTGTGTGCCAAGCACCATGCTGACACCTGGGAATACATAGATGGACAGTGGATGGTTCCTTTATGTTTACCAGATTTTTTCTCCGACGAGTAGGAGAGAAAACTACAAAGATAAGTGGGATGAACACTGTGCCACCACGTGGACCACCAGGAGTGACCGCCTCAACCCGAGACAGAGCTGGGAGGGATCTGAGGCATGCAGCTCCCGACCAGGGTGTTGCAGGTTGACGGCAGCCTGAGCGGGGCTCCCGCCCCACGCGTCCAGGTGGGGGCGCTGCCAGAGCTCGTGGCCCTGGACTTCCCTTTGGTCCGCAGTGAAGTGTAGAGTAGGCACTGCCTGGCTGTCCTGAGGTCAGAAGCGTGGCCATCACCTCGAGTGTGTCTGCAGTGAAGAGAATCCCCACTGGGCAGGATGTGTCTTCTAGTTTGGAGTTTTCTCGGGCTGGATTTTTCAGCAGGACAGGAAAGCAATGCACTGTGTAACCTTCTCAGGTGCCCCGGGGGTCCGGGCCCTGGGGTCTCATGTGAGAATGACCAAACAGGGCGACCCAGAGCCAGGTTAGCTCTCCTGTCTGGAGGCTGGGAGCAGCGTCCGTGCCCTGACAGGCCTCTGAAGGGCACGGGCTGTGTGGGGCCCGCTCTGCTCTTGTGCTGCGTGCAGGGCAGGTCTGAGCAAGCCAGCCAGCGGTCACCCAGCAGTCACCCAGCAGTGAGGCGAGGCTGGGCCGAGGGTGCACAGGCAGGACCGCTCGAAGGAAGGGAAGGAGCGTCAGTCAGGAAAGAGTTTCCCGGGATGGGCAGGGTGAGGAGGTGGCCCCTCTGTGGTGGGAAGAGCTGTCTTAGCAGGAGACTTGGTGGGGGTGCGAGGGGCAGAGTCAGGCAGGTGGAGACCTGGGGGGATGCTCTGCAGGAGAGGCGGCCCCAGGAGCAGGGCCCTGAGGTGGGAGCAGGGCTGGGAAGTCAGGTGGAGGCGGTCAGGGGCACGATCCCGCTGGCCAGCCCCTGCTACGTGGAGACACCGGGCCACCTTCAGTCACTTCTCTCAACCATCCTCAGGATCCAGAGAACTTGTGGTTTAAGAGGCCGGTTCACGCGCATGTATTCTTAACATTGTATTGAGTTTTGCATCTTCACGTGCCTCTTAGCCGTGAAGACCTGGATGACAAATCGGGCAGTGGGACTCCCTCCAGCCAGTCTCCCCGTATTTCCACCTGCGCACAGCTCAGCTGCTCGCCGTGAACACCTTTTCTGTGCTTGGCCCCACCCCGGGCCAGAGTGATGGGTGCTGTGGTCAGCCAGGTCCACGGTGGGGGGAGCGGGCGGGGGCAGCGGGCCCAGACAGGGTAGGTGAACGGCCGGGCTCGGTGTGGGGAGAGACTCTAGAAGGCGCAGAGCTGAACCGCGGGGTGAGGTGGGGCCCCCAGGAGATGGGCATCTCTCGGGGACTGTGAGGCTCGCCCGTGTCTCCGCAGCCTGAGCCGCCTTGGCCTCATCCTGCTCCTGCTGCAGTACTCTACGGAGTTCCTCTTCCACACGGCCCGGCTCTGCCACTTCGCGGATGAGAACAATGAGAAGCTGTGAGTGAGCTGGGCTGAGGCCAGAGGGTGGGGTGGGAGGGCCCCGCCCTGGCAGTCTCTGGAGCCCTGGGGTTATTTTTTTCCTGGAGCATCTTATTCTGGACACCTCAGTCCTCAAGCACCTTCCCCAACCACCCTTGAACCCGCTTCCCATTTGGGCCCCGAAGGCTGACACTCCTTCTGCACCTCCCCGTGGGCAGGTTCAACGCCTGGGCAGCCGTATTTGGAGTCACCCGCCTCTTCATCCTCACCTTGGCTGTGCTGGCCATCGGCTTCGGCCTCGCTCGCGTGGAAAACCAGGCCTTTGACCCCGAGAAGGGGAACTTCAACACGTTACTCTGCAGGTGAGCTGGCCTAGAGCCTCGTGCACTGGGCCCAACTTTGGCTGGAGGTCAAGAGGGGGCAGTCCCCTAGGTCTCCCGCACTTTGATGTTTAGAGGGGAATCAAAGACATCCGGCCGGGATGGGAGAAGAGATGCCGGCCCCCTGCTTCCGTCACAGCCATCTTTCCTGCCTGGCCCTAGTCTGTCATTCTGCAGGCCAGGTCCCACTGCCAACAAGAGCCCCTGCTGGCCCATGCCTCACGGCGGGTGCTGGGTTTGCAAACAGCCTCTCATTTGTCCGTCACGACCCCTTATGGCCTCTTCACAGCGGGTTCTCCCAAGCGGCCAGGAGGGCAGCGAGGAGGCCACGGTCCTCATGACCCCTGGGATCTGGGGTGGTGGGGATCAGAGATTTGTCTGCGATGCTTGCTGGGTGAGAAGTCACTCTTCTAGAATGATTTGTGCTGTATCGTACCTCGGTTCACTTGAACCGCACCCCGCCTCACCACCCCCCTCCCCCGCCCCCAATGATATGGAGCTTACATGCGCCGTGTTCTGGGCGGCGGGTCCCGGACAGGCACGTGGAGGTGTGACAGGAGCTGGAACCACATCTGTCACCTCCTCCCGGCCTCCCCCGCCACGCGCCTGGAGCTGAGCCCGGCACCAGCCACGTTCTTCCCCGAGGGCTGGCGGGCCAGGCGCTGCGGGGTCCTGGCCATGCCTCCGCTCGAGCCCACCCGGCCCTTCTCCCCGCAGGCTGTGCGTGCTGCTGCTGGTGTGTGCTGCCCAGGCCTGGCTCATGTGGCGCTTCATCCACTCGCAGCTGCGGCACTGGCGCGAGTACTGGAGCGAGCAGAACGCCAAGCGCAGGGTGCCCGCTGCCCCCAGGCTGGCAGCCAGGCTCATCAAGAGGGAGTCGGGTGAGTGCGGATCTGCGTGGGGCAGGCGGGCTCCCCCAGGACCCTGGACCAGACCCGCCGCTCCTCCTCCTCGGGCCTGGGGCTCTCTGGCTCCTGCTGGGGCCTGACTGGCACGTGGCTGGGCCCAGACAGCTTGTAGCGGGGGAGGCAGGTGAGGCGGGGGCCCTCGTGGCCACAGAGGGCAGGGCGGCACTGGGGTGGGGAGCTATGGCAGGAAGCATGCCCTCGGGGTGGCCTTGGGGACCCCATCAAGGGCAGCCGCCTGCCCGCGTGTCCTCACTTGCCCTCTTGCTCTGCGTCTTGGCCTGGCTGTCTCCCAGGATGCTGGCTCTGCCTCTCTCTTCAGGGGTGACCCGAGGTGACAGCGCTAGGGGCTGGCGGATGGGGGACACCCCCTTCTCCTCTGGCCCCTGCCAGGTCCTGGGGCGCTGCCAGCCCCGAGCTCTCCATGCAGCCTGGGGGCCTGTCTGCACCAGGCTCTGTCTTCTGAGTCACCGGCCTTTCTCCAGGTGTGGCCTGCTTGGCAGGGCTCGTGTGTGTTTGAACCAGACACGTGTGCGGCTGGGTGTGGCGAGGAGTCAGGCCTGACCGGGGGCGGGGGTGCGTATGGGGCAAGGCTGCAGCTGAATGAGCCTCTGACTCTGAGCAAGGAGACCGGGGTGTTGTTGACAAGAAAAAGCATGGTTTTTTCGGGCAGAGGGAGTATCAGGCAAGGGGGTACCGCCTTGTCCCTGCAGCCTCTCCACCTCCTCCTGTCCTCCCGGTCAGCTTCCCTGACGCTTTGCTGAAGCCGGCCAGTGCCCTCCAGGGGAGCTGAGGACTCCAGAGGCCTTGGAGTGATTTCAGGGAGGGTCTGGGCTGGCCTCGGTCTGCTCCCAGGTGACCATGTGTCACCCCAGCCCTTCCTGCTGAAGTGCAGAGACCAGCCACCTTAGGGGGGATCAGGAGCCCCTGGAAGCAGCCTGCTGGTCCAGCAGCAGGCTGCAGCCCAGGTTCCCTCGGCTTGTCCCATGCAGAGCTGCCAGGCCACAACACCCAGTCCCTGGGACTTGAGTCAGCCGCCCTGTGCCATGGAGCCTACGCCAGGCCAGCAGCAGTGATCTCTGTGTGAATGGGCAGCAGGAGAGACCGGCCCTCTTGGATCATCATCTCCTAGGTGCTGATGAACTGACAAGATGTATGATTCCAGTTCTGCACATGCCATCTTGAGCCTCCCCCCACCGCCACCCTGGGGGCCCCTTCTAGTCCTAAGTGCCAAGGCGTTTGGCTTTGGGACGTGACTACTCGTTCCAGAAGGATGGTGGTGCATCGGCAGCCACCCCTGCTCTCTGTCGGGGACCTGCTAGAGGAGGACAAGTCGTCCCACTCTACAGCAAGATCGAAGTCACTTGCGCGGCGGGCGCCTCCAGAGAGAGAATGTGGCAGAAATGATGGCGTCGACCTGGCCTTCTGTGGCACGTCCAGCTGCACTGCGCTTCTCATCATTCACCAGCAACCAAACCAAACAGCAGTTAACAAACCAGCCCAGCGGGGGACACGCCAGTTCTAAACCCAGCAGCCCTGCCTGTTGGGGGCTGGCCTTGCCCCTGACTTCATCTCTCTCGCTGCAGGAACACTAAGCTCCCCGCTGACCCATGGTGCCCCAGCGAGGGTCACCTAGGCCCCTCACCCTCGAGCCTCACTTGCTGACTGTCCTATGGAGTTGTTGTCATCGTCTGCTGCTGTTTGCTGAGCACGCCCACAGCATTTTGGACGGTGTGGACCCAGGCTGGTTAGGTGGGCAGACCCAGCCTTGTTGACGGGAGTCTTTCTGCACCTTCCCCCGACATGTTCTCCCCCAACCCCCCAAAGACAAGGCTTCCAGGCCTCACGGTGCCTTGTGAAGACTCCAGCAGGGAGCAAGACTCTCAGGAGGAGACCTGAGTGCCAAGTGGAGCTGGTGGGAGCAGGCATGTTAGTGTCATTTGAGAGGCTGGTCTTCTTTCTGACATCAGAGTAGAAAGCAAACTTTGGGTTATTATCCAGCAGGGGAGAAATGGGTCTCTTCATCAAGGCAGCTCCCTTCTCCAGGTCACTTGCCCCAGAGAGAAGTTTTAATCTCCCAGTGCCTGGGATTTGCTTCCTGACAGTCTGGTAGACCCTCACCTCTCTGTCAGGATGAGGCCCTGGAGAGGGGAAGGGGTTCTCTTGATTACCGTTAGGAGAGGGACAATGCTTGTGAAAACGCAAATTCCTCCCATCTTTTCCTTCTCCTTCCCTGACACTTACCTGGGCTGCAAGGCAGAATGCTGGTGAAAGGGGGGCTTGTACCAACCCAGCGGACCCAGGCTAGAAAGCCCTCAGCCGTTCAAATAGTCCCCCTCCCCGTTCGTGGCTGTAGCCAAGTTTGTGCTCCTACCTTGCCAAGGGATGCTGTGTATGTAGCCCGGGTCAGCCTGCAGCCTCCTCAGCCTGCTGCCAGCCTCGCACCTGGCCCAGTCCTCTCTAGGCTGTGTCCTTGGCAGTGACCCCCGGAGGCCACCCCCCATGCTGGGGAGCCCTGCAGCCTCATGCCTTCTCCCTGGGCCAGGGAGGAGGGAGCTGCAGCTGCGGCCCTGCCCAGAGCAGCGTCCCTTTTTGGGTACCAAGGTGATCGCTGACAACACAGGTGTTTGGCGTGCCTGTGGTCTCCTCGGTTCCATGTGGTTCACGGTGGTACCACCAGCCCGGGGCCGGGCCAACTCTCTCTGCATCCTAAACGATGGGGTCGGTTGGTTCCCCAATGAGAGTTGAGGAAATCTTCCCCGCCACGTGAAGCCCCTGGGAACATTACGGGAGGCTAGTGTCCCACACGCCAGCTTCAGGAGTGATTTGAGGGGAGGCTGAGAGGATAACTAGGTGCCTGTCACCCCAGGTGTGCCTGGCACATTTGCTTCAGAGCAGAGCCAAGCCTGTGGCAGGTTGGCTCACAGTGTGTGGCCAGGGGCCGACAGATATCAGTTCCACTTGGTCCTGAGGACTTGGGCTTCCTTGTCTTGGTTTGGCCGTTCTGGCTATGTTCTTCAGTCTCAAATCCTCTGTGATGGCCTGGCCAGACGCCCCCAAGTTTGAGAGGCTGCTTAGCACCATCTGCCAGGAGCCATGCAGACGCTTATCTACCTCAGCAGCCCCACCCCACGCCAGCATCGCTGGCTGGCACATGTGGGGGCACCTGGTCGTGTGGGAGAGGAGGCCCTGGGGTGGCGATCCTAACCCTCCCTGGAGGCTCCATGATGGGAAGTTGTTTTCTCGCTCCAGGTTCTGATAACTGCATATTATTGCTAGGTTATAGGTGCCCCTTCTGAAGGCAGGGCAGTTCTTGGGGACCCAGGAGAAGGCTGAGCTGGACCTGGTCAGTCCTAGCCCTAGACCTGCATCCTTTCCCAACAAGGACCTCTCCCATTTCTGTCCCAAGTGGAGCTACCACACTTCAGAAACCATACTAGATCCCTGCCCTGGCCGCCTCTGCAGAGGCTGCTGTTGACTGGAAAGCCCTGGAGCTGGGCCGGGTGTTTGGGGATGCGCGTGGCTGGGTTGCTTTGGGGACCTTCTTTCTCGTTGCCTTTGACTATTTCCTCGGTGCTGACTAGGAGGTACGGGCAGGGTGTGCGCCCCCCTTCCAGGTTCCACCACAGAAAATTCTGTTCCCTGGGTTCCTTTTCAAGTTCGAAGTGGCTGCTCCCCGCAGCCTTTTGGGTTCCATCCTGGGCTTCGGCCTCCCTGTTGGTTTGTCCTAGGCCTGGGGGCCGAGAAGGCTGGGAGGTCTGCCCATGACTCACGCCCCCGCAGAGGCCTCCATGTCCCAGTGAACAGACCCCCTTTCCTGAGGGTCAGGGCCTGACTCCTGTGGAGTGTGGGCCGTAGGCTTGTGAGTCGGGACCACCGAGTGGTCTCTCTCTCCCCACTGCCATCCTAGCTCACAGCCCTCTCCGCAGGAGGGCTCATGCACAGCTGGACAACTGAGTTGTCGACGGATCACTTGGGGCCTAAGTCGCGTCTCTCCCCAGGTATGGCTGGCTCAGCGAGGAGCCTTCACCAGCTTCTCTCTCTCGCAGTTCTTGCATGAGTAGTGATTCCTTTCAGAAGGCTGTGAAAGACCACGGGTCCCCCAGCTGTCTGCCTTTACCAGCTCATTCTTTTATGGAGGTCCTCAGAAAGCACGGGGGCGCTGGCTCTGCGAGGCCTCCTCCTGCCCTGAGCTGATCCTGTATCTTCTTGTCAGAAGTGCCTTACTTGCCGGGGTCTCCTGGCCTCCACCTGCACTGTGTGGCCAGCCCCCGGCCCCAGTACAGCTACGTGGAAAAGGGACGCGGACTGTGACAGTTTCCCCTCATTCGTCTTAGCCTCACCCCCGCCTGTTGTCAGGATCTGGTGGTTTCCAGTTCCTCCTTGAGTCCAGGTGGTCATGAGGACCCCTCTGCGGGGTGCCGCCATGCCTCTGGCCCATGCGCTGAACCCTGCTCATCCAGCTCCCCCAACATGTAGAAGAAAAGGTACCCTCGCAATAGCCTCTTCTCACCTGTTTCCCATTCCACCCAAAGTTTATGCAGGAAGGTGTTTACTCTTACTTCCGGTCACAAGTGTTACTCACAGATGCCCGTCTGACGTGGGTCCGGCTGGGCTGTGGCAGACGCCCCTCCATGCAGTGTTACTTGTTGAGCATCAGCTCCCCCTCGCCCGCCCCTTCCCACCACCTCCTCACTCTTCCGGGTTGTGCAATAACTCTCCCAGCCAGTGGTCTTTCCCACAGGCCGCCTGTCCCTTCCAGTGCCCGGCCACTGGGGCAGGACGGGACCCACGGGAGGGTGGTCGTCATCCCCAGAGAAGAAACGGTAGCCACGCTCCCTCTGTCGTTCTCGTGACCTTGGTGGCACTCTAGTGGAACATTATAGCATCGTCTTAGAAGTCCCTGTATTTTTTAAACTGTTTAAAAAGGAAAAAAAAAAAACCATCCTCACGATGGGGCATTAATAGATTAGCATCTGGGAATAAGATCTGTGAGACACCCGAGGCATCACCAGCACTTTGCTGAAAGCGTTCAAGAGTGTGTGTGGAGAGGAGGGAAGTTTTCTTGGGAATCAGCCATGGGTGGACAGCCCTGGTCACCTGATCGCCTCTGACCGGTGGTAAGTACCACCGTCTCCTTGGGTACAGAGTCAAGTGTTTATGTGACGAGACTCTACACCTCATCTTTTTCCGTTTCTCTTGTTTAATAAACATTTGAAGGATGAGCTGAGGCTGTTGGTGCCCTGAGCAACTCATAATGCAGATGTGGACGAAGTATCTCTTCTCTTTTCTGTTTCAGCCTGTTCATTTTATGGACCAAATTTCCAACAAGGAACTCAAGGAAAATTTGTACCTGCCGTATTTATGCGTTCATGTAAAAGGGGTTTTTTTTGTTTGTTTGTTTTTGAGGGGGCTCATTTTACTTTCAGTGAACTTTTTTCCAAATCCTTTTCCCACTGTTTCTGTCTGGTTTTAAAACAAATTACAGTTTTGTATGAATTTTTTAAATGTACATTTTGAAACAAATGATCAAATATTTTTGAAATAACTGAATAAAAGGCATAGAATTATTAGTCTAATTGTCTCAGGTATAATTCCTTTTTACCTGGATGCTCACATTTGCTTTTTAAGTTGCAGTGATTTTATTTCACCTTGAAGTCAGATGGCTATATGGGAATTGATTAGGGTGTTGCTTCAATGCATTTATAGAGTATGTTTCTTACCCTGAAGATTGAAAAGGTTAAAATAAGATTGTTTGAAAATAGTGATATTGCTGGCAAACTTTTTTTTGTAAGAACTTGCACCAGCTGTAATCTTAAGTTTGTACTCTCAAATGTGCTTTTATATGAACAATGAGTTTGCGTCCATTTCAACCTCACTTGTAATGTTTTTCACTGTTAGTAATTTCTTGCATATCTTTTGAGATAGTTGTTCATTGTGGTCATGTGAGTAAGGGAGTTGGAATTAAGGACAGAGAATAAGTCAGTTATTCTGAGTGGTGGGTAGCAGGACGCCTCTTACTTGGTGTCTGTAACGGGAGGTGTAAATGTGGACAGGAGTGTGCCGACGTGGGGTGGGGGTGGTTAGGAAGCTCCAGGAGGAGGCGCACTGTGCCCAATGCCTGCCGTGTGGCTCCCCAGCATCCACAGGGGTGTGTTCTGGGACTCTCAGTGGATCCCTGAAACCCCAGACAGGACCGGGCCCTATAGACACTGTTTTTTCCTATACATACCTACCTACGATGAAGTCTATAAATTAGGCACAGTAAGAGATGAACAATTACAAACATATACCATAATGAAAGGTATGTGGATGTGGTCTCTCAAAATTTTATCTTAACTGTGCTGCACTTACCCTTCTACTTGTGACATGAGGTGACTGAATGGCTGTGTGGTGAGGTGATGTGAGCCATATGACGCAGACACCATGATGGAGCCTTGGGCTACTGCTGACCTGACCACACGCCCGGAGGAGGTGCGGCTGCCTGGGGCGGTCCTGGATCTCCACACTGATGGCTGAGGATCCCGGGTGGGACAGAGCAGGAGGGTGCAAGAGTCAGCACAGGACTCAGAATGGCACACAATTTAAAACTTACAAAGTATTTCTGGAACTTCCCATCCAATATTTTCAGACCGT